AGATCTTGTTGAAGCACCATAATTCCCGCCACAAAAATCGTCCAGGTAGATCGCCGCCATTATCCCCTCCTCTTCTTTCCCAGTCTCCCACAAAGGACACTCTTCGAAGGAGGGGAATGTTGGAATGATTCTTATTGGTAGAAAAAGGATAGTGTGCCTTCTCATATCGTATAGAGAGGGATTCTCCTTCCATCTAAGAAAGCTGACCAGATTTCTTCAGAGGGTACGATTTCAGTTTTCAAGGACCCAGACTCCATTATCATCCTGATGCGCGCGTGCGTGCGCGCTTACAGAATTTCTGAACAAAGCGTTGTATTTTTCGTTTACTCTTATGCTTCAGTTCTCAAATTGTACTGAAATTTACGGGTTGTAGTTTGCTAAATAATTGATTTGTTTGTGTACGAGGCAGTTATAGTCGATATTTTTAAAAAATTATTCGGTACGGTGAGATATCTTGATGGCGTCGAATCGAGACGCTACCGCTTGCCTGTCAGCGAAGTCACGAGGAGTCGGAGTGTATTATTCAGTGATTTGCCGGTTAACCGTGTATATTACAGTCTTTATGCAAGCTGTAAATTGTGTGTAAATTTTGTTGTGAAATAGTAAATAATTTGTGCAAAATAGTATTATACGAGCGAGTGTAGTGTGTATTATATGTTGAAATGGTCGAGTAAAGCGTCAGCCATTATGGAATTCGGTTTGAGTGAATTTCATACTCGAAAGTCATTCCGCCAATCGTATAACGTTTCGCGTCATAACGACCTGTTGCTATTGTTATTGTTGCTGTTACTGTTTATTCAAATTTTTTTTACTTTTCCTATCATTTCATACCATACAGTTCCATATTTATTGTCGAAATGTGCCAGATTGATTGCACAGAATCGGAAAAGTTGTTCGTTACGTATAAAGGTTGCTCATTCACATTGAATTTATCATTAGATGTCGTTACAAGAAATACGAGATAAATGTATTTGCTAACATTAGGAAGGTTTACGGATAACCTTATTCACATTGATACACATGCGTATATATATATTATATGTAATAAAAACAGTGCTGTATATGAGAAAGAGAAAGAAGATCGATTGTCGTTGTGTGCGTACACGCGAATGTCGTCGACCGTTCGTTGGTCGAGAGTTCTGAGCGTCGCGTCGCTACAACCTGTTGCTTCAACTCAGTCGCATGCTTCTTTAGATCTACTTCTTTCTTCATATATACATTTCAGTGTTTTGATATTTTCCAAATATTTGACGAAAGAATGTCTCGGGTTACTAAGCAAAGGTATTATGTGATTAACTATTTAGTTTTATATGTTTTATGTTTGAATTACATGTACTTTCTTGTCAAATAATATTCTGTATATAATGTATATCCTCACACATGTACATGATAATTTTATATGAATACAAATTCACATGCGTCTGCGTGTGCATTTATATAGGATAGTTTTTTGAAGTTGCACCTAATCGTTGGTAATTTTACACTTTCCTCTTATATACTGTATAAAATATTTTATTTTTAGATATTTTTAATCAGGAGTATCGCACATAATTATTTTTATCATCGCGTTCCACCTGTCTAAAAGTCTGCAAGATTTGTATAAATAAGCAAATTGTTGGTTTAATAAGATTAAATTGCGTGTAAATTATAACAAAATTTTAGCTTTCTCAAATGGCACTTGGTTCAAAGATCTGTTCTTTAGGGAGTTGCTTACATCTACCAATTAAATGCAATTGACCAACAACTGACAGTGCGATCTCTTTCCTCTCTTTGTTCCAATTTCTAACTTCTCGATATTCTCTCTTATATGTATAAAGTAAATGACAATTTCGGATGATATAGAAAAAAAAAGAAAAGAATAGTTGGATATTTGTATTGAAAAGCGAATGAAATACCAACGGTTCTTATAGCGTGCTACAACTGTATCTGGTAAAAGCTTCATGTTATTTCCCACGGTATCTCTGTGAATAGTGGGGCAAAAGATTGCCAGGGGCGGATAGTTTGCGGTGAGAGGGGTAGAAGGAGAAATAGACTCTTCATGTATTCGTCAGAAAAGAGGGGGAAAGAGGACAGCTCAATGATCGATTCAAAGTTTTACATGATCTGGTACAAGTATCGTTCGAGCAAATTTCGTATCTGTTATTGATATTTTTACAGAGAATTGCGCGTATTGGCATAAATTTCATCTTCTAATATGCTTTATAAATAAATTGTATAGACATAGATCGATCAAAAGAATAAACCGTTTCTAAAGAATTAGAAACATTCGATAAATTGAACAGTTGCTGTGAAAGAAAGCAACAGATTAATTGAATGTAAAAGTATCGAACGCAAAGTACAAGAAATGGACAGAACTAGATCGAAACAATACGTAACAGAGTGCCAGGAATGGCCAGGTTAATAACAATTAACCTTCATCATTATGTTGACTCCCGAAGATCATGCTATAACTGTACACTTTTTGTCACTGTAACGTTACCGGTTAAAATATCTGTTTATCTTACTCTTTCTGTGTTTATTTACATTCTTCTGTAATCGCTAATTAGAAAACAGTTTTTAAATATCGATAGTTCGAAGCACGCAACATTAGATTCGTATGATGTAATAAGGAAGGCGGCAGAGAAAGAAAACAAGCGAAAACGAGAAAATTCATCTTTTCCAAATTTGCTAAATGAGTGAAGGTCTAGTGCACAGGAGATCAAATTGTGACTAGATCCACACTCATTAAGCACGTTTGGATTCAAACATCGCCGTTTCATTGATAATCATAAAATAAGTTTTCCCATATTAACGCGCAACCGTTTCAAAAATTTGTCATCGTTATAAACTTTTTTCATTTATGAATCCTTAATACGATGTAAAACAGATAATTCCATAGGCGAGTATGAATGTGGTGCGCGTTATGGTTTACTTCGTGACTAGATACATACTCGTCTACGGTGATCTGTTCCACTCTTAAAATATTGTGTGTAATATATGAAATATATATATTTCTAAGTTGTAGTAAAGATTATTTTATACTATTATATAGAATATCGTTTTACTTCTTTTTAAGCAAACTAAAAGAGCAAGAAGTCCAACAGCTGAGACAGAAAGCAATAATAAATTACGAGCAATAAGCCATACGTTCACACCGTTGAATTATACCTCACAATCGTAAGCACACTATCTAATCATTTTTACTTACATGTTTGTGTAATTCGATACTGCACTTAGTAAATTTCAATAATTGTTATAGTGATGTTCCGATTCGTGCACCCAGTACAACGGTTAGAGGCAAAGTCCTTTTACTTTTTGGCCCTGCCATTCAAAATTGGAAGAAACAAAACGAGCACGATGTATCGATCGTTAAGGCGGATAATTCTCATATACCTAAAAGTGCATTGTACATGTTTGAAATGTTTTCCAATCAGGGAACAATTCTTACCATGCATTGTCAAAGTTTTGGGGAGCGATTGTGTTACGCTTGGAACGCCATTGAACCTCCTAATTCGAATATACGTTACATTAGAAACATAGCGCCTATAAAACCAGTTGTGTTTAGAACATGGGGCAGACTATTTATAACAGCCGAAAAGCCTAGTGGAAGGAAAATTGTTATGCTGGAAGGTACTAAAAGGCTTAAAATTCAGAAACAAGCTCCCATTTTACATTTGAATCTTAAAGCAATTAAGCATTACTCAGTGTTTACTGGTCAGATCGTTGCGGTTGAGGGTATTATCACTACTGAGGATACTTTAACAGTAAATAAATTATTTGTTAAGGGATATGCACCATTATTCGATGTACCCAAAATATCGAAAGATATTAAAATATACGTTGCGGCTGGTCCGTTTACACCTTCTGATAATTTAAATTATCAACCTTTATGGGATCTTATGGAACGCGTTGTAGAAGACGAACCTAATATGTTAATATTAGTTGGACCTTTCGTAGAATATACACATCCTGAAATTAAAAAATGTAGTTTGAAAGAGACTTTTCAAGATTTTTTTGATACGCTTTTAACGAAGATTCTGCAATATTTACAAGGGTATATTTCAGTTAATAAAGTCATGTTAATATAATAATGTAAATTAGCATTACTATTCTTCATAATTTAGGAAATCTACTCGCATTATATTGGTACCTTCTAATCGTGATGTGCATCATCATCCGGTTTTTCCAACTCCGGAGTTCATTCTAAATACAAATAAACTTGGATCAAGTACGACGAATATTTGTAGTATGCCAGATCCATGCATAATAAATGTAGACGGTTTACATATAGGAGTAACATCGGTTGATGTACTTAGACATCTTGGACAACAAGAAGTATCGTAAGTGTATCAACATCTAGGTAATAAAATATAAATTTTATTGTAACAAAAGTTTTTTTTAGGAATACACCTGGAATGGATAGACTTGGTCGTTTGGCCGAGCATGTATTGTCTCAGTCCTCATTCTATCCTGTATATCCTCCTCCTCCTGGCTTGAATCTTGATACCAGACTTTGGAAACAATACGCTTGTTTTGAACGGCAACCCCACGTGTTGATCTTACCTTCCGACGTTAGACATTATTGCAAACCATTAAATGAATGCCTCGTTTTGAATCCGGAGCGATTACAAAAGTACATATGTGCTAAGTTATGTGTACGGCCAATGAATAATGGAAAATGGGATCCAAATAGAGTATCTTGTGAGATTGTAAAAGTCTGATCGCTTTTTTCTCATTTTTTCTTATATTTTCTTGTTGCGATGTAAGGCACGATAATTAAAATACAAAGGTAAAAAAGTTTGTGTCTTTTATTTAAAGAATGATGTTAATAAAAAGAATTTGTATATAATTTGTGTTTTCATGCCTTGATTTAAGAGAAGTGAAAATATAAATATTGTTTTATATCGATGTAATACCATGATTTCTCTCTCATATGGGAAATGAACTAAATAAAATTTGAAGTTTATCGTTTGTCCGTTAGAGGTTAGCAGTCGTCGTATTTAGGATTCTTGTCTGCGTCGTAAACGTACGATGGCGCCACACGAACAACAATCTGAGCCACCGAGTTTTCTGCTTCTAGTGAGTTGTGGAATCGGCCATTGCTCCAATATTTTTCTTGTGATTGAAAATGTTCAACCTCTAATGGAGATACGAAAGCGTACATGAGTACTGAGGTAAGTTGTACAATTACTTGTTGCATTTGCTTTTCTTTTCGCAATGTATTTTTGTAGAAACAAAAACGATAACTAGGTATCAACTATCTGCCAAATTTTGTTCCGCCATCTTTGTTACAAATTCGTTTACATTTTGCTGTGTGTATTGTATTTTTTGCAATTATTTCATGCTCGCATTTTACTTTTAAATTGATCTTGGTTAATTAATTATATATATGATACGACTTACAATTTTATAAGTCTTCTTTTCTAATTTATTTTTGATCATCAAATTAACTGTGCGGGTTTAACAATTACTGTTATGGCCTTGATTTTTTCGTCCAAAAAAAAAGGGAGTTATGAAATTAAGCATGTGATGATAATAAGAATATGATACCCTCCTTGTATCGTATTTGTCATCTTTAAATCAGTGTCCCAATATTTAGTGATACAATACTGTTTTCTTCTAGTTATAAAATTAAAATTGATAATTTTATTAAGTGAATACTTACATATGTTGTATTTGCAGAAATGAATTATATTTTAAATAAAAAAGTATGTGGACTTTGTTGCGTATTATTGTATTATAAGAATAATGTTATAATTTAATGTTATTTAACGGTACGCATATGCATTAAAAAATATTATCGTTCAATACAATTTTTAAATTAAATATCCTGTATATGTCTTGGGAATTTGAATATTCTTAGTAACATATTTGACATAAAATATGTTCAATTTGTAAGTAACGTATATGGAAAATTTTTAATTTTATAATTAATTCTATTAATTATTTTATTATAATATACTATACATACATATTTGGTTTATTAGATGTAAACGTTAATTATATATATATATATATAATTATAATTGAAAATATGATATTGATTTAGTATGTTGTCAGTGTTTAAATGCTTAAAATGATACCGACGGGTGAAATCAGAAATTTCTTTATTACCGACTGTTTATAATTTTGTTTTTGAAGGTAACATTACGTAAAAATTATATTATTGCTATGACTGATTTATTTATAAACACTTAAATAAAATTTATCGTGGCTCAATTATGTATGAGAAGGAATAATAGTTGAATATATAAGTTTTATAGGTCGTCAAGTTGTAAGATATATATATTTATGTATAAGAAATCAATTTTCATTATATTTTACGCAGAAAAGAAATTGATTGAATGAAACTCATGCCTCTGGGTCAATATTATTTTCAGTATACAATTTTGAACAGTTCCTAAATTTACATAACAGAACTTGTTAAAAAGATAGTAATCTTGGAAATAATATTGAAAATGTATATAGTGTCTTCTGATATAAATTTTATTTGTAAAACAATCAGTGCAGATTATAATGGATTTGAGGAAAGGTACTGGAATTGGCTCAGAGTATCATAGATACGATACAATACATATTGAGAACATGAGAAAGCGAGAGTGCCATATCGATCCGGTTAGTTTGAAGTCTACCTACCTCAACCCTGATTATACATACTTTTACCAGTCGCTTTCATTGGTATAGGTTCTATCTTTTATTTTCACTCCTCTATAAAAGTTAGTTGGTAGCACGATGTGTACGTATTTGATGCAAATCTTTCGATGACTACCACGATAACTTCTCGCATCGAGTGTACGGGAAATGTTGAAAATGCACGCTGCATCGTTGCGTAATAATTCTTATTACAGGTAATCTGTTTAAAAACAGTCGTCAGACAATAGTTGTATCATAATGTTATACACACGGGTTGGATATAAATACAGACAATAGATTGATTTACACATATTTAATTTTCTTTCATTTGCTTCGCTATAAAGAGTAACAAAACATAATTTGATTAGTCATTATAAGATCTCCTCTCTAAAAAAAGTCTTAACTTTTCGTGAGATACTTCGATAAACTGTACACTCTGCCTACTGATTCAATGAAATCAGATTTAATGGCGATGAGATAGGCAAAATACAACTTTCATTTTCCACAGAAAGAAAACAAAACTTCATTACCCTTATAAGATAAATTACCAAGGCATAACTTTTAGTTTTAGTATTCAAGCTATATTCCCTTGTTTACATTCTAATTCTTTCTACGTTTGGTTCCTCGATTGTTTTGTTAGCCATCTGACTTTTTCGCGGGGGTAAACACAGCAAAATATGCGATGTAACAAAAAGAGATAAAATAACGTATAACGTTGTAGAGCTACGTAGCATATAGGACGTTAGGTTAAAAAATAAATTCGATAAGTCGGTGAATTTTTGGGGAAGTGGATAACGGTATCGGGCACATGAAAATTCGGGAGTCTACGCTGGTGGGCTGTCTTGGGCGGGCGACGGCTGTGCGCAAAAACGGCGGCAGTCAAGTTCAAGGCCATCAGCTACTTTCCTTTCCCTCCTTGCCTCCGCTGT